AAGCGAGAAGGCGGCCCCGGGAAGGGCGCACGGCAAAGGCGAGAGTCGCTTGAAGCGGCCCGGCGTTTTGATTTCTGCCCTCACCTGGAAGCGCCTGGTGGCTGCCTCTGCGAAGAAGAAGAAGAATGCTAAGAAGGTGACGCCCAAGCCGGGCTCCGGAGGCGCATCTGATCCCCTGGTGCAGCAGCGCAACCGCGAGAACGTGCGCAAGTCCCAGCCGGACGGGACCAAACAGGGTCCATTGGCTGTTCCAGTGCCTACTGTGCCCGTCTCTGTCCAAGACAGCGGAAAACCGCCGCCGCCCCCGCCGCTGCCCAGCAACCGCTCGGCCGCTGGCTCCCCGCGGAGGGTGATCGTGCAGGCTTCCACGGGCGAGCTCCTCCGCTGCCTAGGGGACTTCGTGTGCCGCCGATGCTACAGGCTCAAGGACCTGAGTCCCGGCGAGCTCATCGGTTGGTTCCGCAGTGTGGATCGCTCGCTCCTGCTCCAGGGCTGGCAGGACCAAGGCTTCATCACCCCCGCCAACCTTGTCTTTGTGTACCTGCTGTGTCGCGAGGCGCTGCAAGGCGACCAGATTGGCAGCCAGGCGGAGCTTCAAGCCTCCTTCCTCACTTGCCTCTACCTGGCCTACTCCTATATGGGCAATGAAATCTCGTACCCACTCAAGCCCTTTCTGGTTGAGGGTGACAAGGAGCGCTTTTGGGACCGCTGCCTCTCCATCATCCAGGGCTTGAGCGCCAAGATGTTGCAGATCAACTCTGACCCGCACTTCTTCACACAGGTCTTCCAGGACCTCAAGAATGAAGGCGAGGGGGGATCCACAAAGGACTCCTCCAGCACCAACAAACACTGGACTATAAGCTTGGACCGTTAGGAAATTCAGGGGGCCCCTCCCCAGCACCCCCCAACCTTCCAGATGTATCTCGCCTCTTCACCCCCCTCTCACCCAAAGGCTTGGCTCAACTAGGTTTCTCCTGGAGGAATAAAACCAGGGGTGAGAATTGGGGAGCTGCCAGGGGCATAGCCCTTAGTCATCCTATTTTGTACAGGTAGCATCATGGAACTGCTTCCCATTCTCTCCACCCCCCACCCCAAGCCTTTAGTAGGCTTAGGTATGTGTATGGGGAGGGAAAAGGCTTGCTACAGCCCACCCTTTCCACACTCCATTCTGGGGGCCACACCCAAAATTACATCAACCCCTTTTCACAACTGCAGCAACTAGATGATTTGAGAATAGTAAGATGGGATGGTTTGGCCCACAACTTGTTGTATCTTTCCTCTGTGAGCAGAACCAGTCTTTGCTGTCCTAGCAAGGTGCCACAGGCAGGCTGGATGGATTTGGGGCCTTGTATATGCATTGGGGGAGGGTGTCCTTTTCTCTTTCTTCCAAATGGGAGAATCCCTAGACATATCAGTGGATCAGCCTGAGGCATTATTTATCAGCACGGTTCTGACTAGTGCGGGAGAAAACAATGGCTGTGCCCTTGCTTGAGAAAGCCCTACCTGTATAACCTCTTATGGTTTGGGTCTCTCTGCTGCTACTGTGAATCACAGTACAGCCAGGGCATTTACTCCCCCTCCCCTCCGCCCCAGTGATAGCAATCCCTGCATGTATTTGTCCTTTCTGCTGTTGGAGCTCTGCCATAGTGGTTCTAAGAAATGGATAATGGTCATAAAAGACCATTACTGCAAGTCAATTGCCTTTTGTAGTTTTCTTTTCTTTTCATCTTGGCACAGGGGAGGGGGGAGGTGTGTATCCACTCCCAACACTGAAAATAAGTGCTGGGGAAACTGTGCTGCTATCCTTCCAATGCCCCATTTGACCTGTTCCTGCCATACTGCCCCCCACCCCCACCCATTGCCTCCCATCTGAAACAGAGGCTGGGAGCTGTCCGTGGTGCTAGCCTCTTAGACCTATGTAGACATTTGCACATTCTTGAAGCTGAAAAACAAGCCGTCTCATGGTGTTTGAATGTAACAGAACAATGTCTGACTTATGGGATGTTTGTGCCAATGTTGCTCAAATGTACAATAACATATTGTTTTATATTGTATATTTAAAAGATAAAAGTAATGAGTCTAAACAGAACTTCAAAATTGTTCGATCATTGAGAAATTCAGCTGTACTAGGAGAGAATACTAAATGCATTGGATCTGGGAAAACCAGAGAGGAGAGATGCAAGTGATAGCAATTCATGCTGAGGCTTTATTTCAGGATGGAGGAGGCATTAGTTGTTGGCTGATGATTTCCTAAATGGCCGTGTTGGCAGGAGATCCCAGACTTGCTAATGGGATTTGATATTCATTTGCAATCCATCTTATTCCAGAGCCCTTTTAGACAAGGACATGCTCTGTGTGTTCTTGAGATCTGGCCCTGACAAATCTCAGTCAAAGAATCTGATTTTAAAGAAAACAAAATATAATGACTGAACTATTAAATGTCTGCAAGTGTATAGTAAGATAAAGCAACAAATTTCTTGCCCACCTGCTTTATTGTTTGGCATGTGTGCAGACATGCAGAAGAAATCCCCTGTAATTGAGGTCATTTAAAGAGGCAATCAAAGTGGGACCTATTTTGAATTGTCTTCTCATTTCTGAGACTGAAAGTTATCCTGATTTTTTCCTGCTGCTCAGATGTGACAGCCTGGTCCTCTTTCAAAGTGCACCTAAGAAAAATGGCACATTTATTAAGAACATGTGGTTAGCTTCTTGTCTTCTCCTTCCAGATAAGAAGTCTGCTTGCAGTTTGGCATCCTTAATTGCTGGTCCTCTGAAGAATGCTGATAGGGAAAAGTCTCTGCTGTGCCTTATTATTCTTTAATAACATTATTTTAGGATGGCAGACCTGGGTTATCTGGCTGCTTCTGTCTCTTCATTGCCACTGTCTCAGATGTTTCCTTTTTCCAATCTTCACTTCATAATGTCCCATGGTGGCACTGCATAAAAGATTTATTAAGTTCTCAGTCTTAACGCTGTTTTTTAAGAGGGGTGGAATTTGATCAAATAATAACTGGACCTGTTATGTCCCAATGGTTATTAACTAGAGCTATCACCAATTCTAAGAGAATACTTCTTTTTGCTTTTTCATGAAGGAGTCTATTGCACCATTTCACTTATCAAACACTGGGGCAGAAACACAGCAGCAGAAATTTTAAAAGAGGAATTCTTTGTTTCCACAACTGCATGGAAGTTCTCTGTCCATCTGGTTAAGACACATGACTATTACGGATTCTTGCTGTAGTGGACAAGTCCATAGTGATTAATTAGCTGATAGGATTAGTTGGTAAAAATTAGCTGATAGGATTAGTTGTTACAAATTAATAAACAATTTGGCTCACGTTTTAACCAACAGTCAAATGGTTCAGTAATTTGTAGACTGATTTTGAGCTTGACATAAAATCATTTAGAGAAGACTGCTGATTCTGGATTTAAAAATCAGCAGAGAAACCAAACTCTGAATACAAAAGGTTCTACATTGCCTCATCATGCTGTCTCCATAATTTTGATTTGAAATGGTTTTTGATCACAGAATCCTGGCTTCTGCATGTGATAAACCACAACGGAAGAGGGCAGGATGGCTGTTGTTTTGGTAAGAGAATTATGCTGTTTGTTCCCCTTTGCATATATTTACCTCTCCGAAGGAATATATTATCAGAAGTTTAGGCTTTGACATTTTGGCAAATAATTCAAATAATAAACTTGAAAAAATGGTGAACAGAAAAGAGCAGTTTTGTATCAGAAGTGTCTTCTTGATTATAGTGCAGATGAGCTATTATTAGTAGTTACTGTTCTGTTGGTCTGCCTGTTTGGGTCTTTGTGTTTTAATATACCTGACACATTCTTAAAAAATTATGCTTGAGCTAAAATGGTCAGGATAAGGGAGCTGGTCCAGACCAAAGATGAAAAGGTTACCATTCAGATCTTGTGTTCTAACAACCTATGCTGATACTAATACTTGCTCCTATTTCTGCTATCATGTAGTTGCTGTGTTCTTAATTTGCTCATTGCTGAAGTCATTTGAACCCAAATGTCAATGGATCCTATTCTTTGCCTCAAGACTAGCAATATTTTTAGGGTAGTTTCTTCCCAAATGGTACCTTTTAGGGTTGTTGTGATTGCAGTCTTCAGCAGGGAGTTATGATATCAAGCCACTTGGGAACTTTCCTGCCTTCCTTCTTGCTCAAGTGCTAGCCCACTGCACTGAAATGCTGTGAGTATCTCAGGTGTTTTGTAGTAATTATTTATATGTTGTTTATTTTAAAAATCCCACTGTGGTTTACAATAACATAAATACATATTATAAAACCAATCCATTAAAAACAGTTATGAGGAAATAACAGCTGAAGAATACCAACATAAGAAGATAAGTTTTAAAAAACGTATTGACTATATTATTATTGGGGCTAGAGAAGAGGTCATTCCACAAGGCAGATATAACTGCAGAGAACAGTGTGCGCTCACTAACTGAACTTGCAAGTCATTGCAAGGACCTCCCTGAAAATCAAAGATGTCTGAAAGCTGATGTAATTGGAGAGACTTTTCAAGGTAACTGTGTGTGCTACATTTAGGACGTGTCTAAATGATTGTACAGCTCTATTTATTTATTTATTTTGCTGATTTGCTTTTTTGGCTATGTGTTGAGTGAAAATAACTTTTCAGCAGGCAACAGTTTTAAAGAGAAGTAGCAAATAGATCTGAAGATAAGAGAAAATGAAAACTGCAAATTATATATGGCTCAGAGGCTGCCTTCCAGAGAGTTCTTTCAGAGAAGATTGTCATTATCAATAATTCATTTCAGTAGGGCTTATTCTTTAAATTTAGTTTCTGTTTAGGGTAATGGATGTCCATAACTGCTGAATTCTGAAAGCCGTTGCCCTATATGGTGAACCAGTGAGTTACAAATGGCAGCCTTTTCAGGGAAATACCTTTGAGTCCTGGTTGTCTGCCCATCCCCAGCTGTCCACTGTGTCCTTCATAGTAAGAGCGAAGGTATCCTATCCCAAATGGTTTTCTTGAGTCCTTAGCCACTTCTATGCTACCAGCATTTCCTCTTTCTATTCTTAACCCAAACCAGAGATCCAACCACAGGCAGGCCTGCTGTTATGCCCACCACCACCTTTGCAAGCCCTCACCAGAGCTAACCCGTACACCTTCCAGCTGGCCAATGTGGGCACACCAAAATCAGCTTGGTAGTGGTAGTGTGTGTGTGAGTGCATGAATGACAGCTATCTGAACGGTCCCACTGAAGCTCTTGGTGAGGGCACCAAAGTGTTATGAGGGGTTAGTTGTAGGGAGGGGAAGCCAGGTGGTGGGATTACTCACCAGTGAGAGACTGATCCAACACCAAGTACAGTAATGTTTTGCCATTCAAAATTTTGGAGAATCAGGCTGGAAGAAAATTGGTTAGACTGCTTAGCAGGATCTTAGCATGGGAACCCAGGAACGTAGTGGTGCTGTAAGAGCAAAATCAAAGCCCATTCAAAGTATTATTTGTATTTCTGCTTGTTCTCAATTCTGATTCTGCGATATGTTCATTGATTATATCTCATGCTATGTCCTTTGACTCTGACTGCTGCTTTGTCTCACAGCTTCAAGTTTCCATCTCACTTCAGCCTCAGCGCCATAGGTAGGGTGTTACCATTAATACACAAAATGACCTTTTGCTGATTTGGACCACTGGCTCATCTAATTCAGTACTGGCTGCTTTGAGCAACAGAAGTCCTCCAGAGATTTTTTTTCCCAGATGCATGGTTTGCAATTATGAGAAATTAATGGAGGCTAATTAACAAGTGGACAGTTTAGAGATTAAGGAACTTTTTTAGAATGAGAAACTATAGAAATGAATGGTGTTGCTTATAAAACAAGACAGAGGAAACTGCAGCGTGGTGGGGCTTCTGGAATTCTTTCCAACCCCATAATACAGTAGTAACTACTCTAAGTCACGTGACCAGAGGGAGAAGGACTTAAGAATGGAGCAATCAGCGGCATTCCAAACTGTTGCCCAACTGCTTCTCCCATAGGATGCATTGGGGATTTTTTTCCCCTTGGATTTCTTTCTCAGTTATCACTCCACTGAGGCATCCAAACTATCTCGTTAACTTGCTGTATCACCTAGCCCGCTTTTATAAGCAAAGCAAGCCAGTAAAGACTGAATGGATAAATTGGGCAAGGTGGGAGATGAGAGATGAGCTTAGCTATTTCAACAGAACAGATCAGGCAGTGGTAGCCACGTTTTGGCTGAAG